AATATTTTAGTAATAATAAGTAAATAAAATTATTTTATTTAACTTTATTTATTTTAATTTGACCACAGAGGGACAGAGAGAGGGAGGGAAAGTGAAAGTCACCGGGTCTGGGACTCAAACTACCATTGGTCATGTGGGAGTCCAGCACTCTTAACCACCATGCCACCTGCTGGCTCCTTTTCTTTCAGTTTTTAAGTCTCAGTGAGTGAGTTGGTATCAAAGGGTTTAAAATACTAGACGAGAGTCCAGGTGATGGAGCAGTGGGAAAGCTGACACATTGCAAAGCAAACCCAAGTGGGAAGGTTCCCAGTTCAAGTCCAGAGCCCTCTTGAGTATCCCAGACAGCCATGCCATGATCTGAGCTGGCCAAAGGTTGGGATGGGTCATGCTGTCAGGATCCTGTTGGGATGCTGTCTCTGTCTCTGTCTCTCTCTTTCTTGTCTCACACATGAAGTACAGAAATAAACTTTAAAAATAAGTAAAGTACTTGACAGAGCAATTATTACCCTCTTAAAGAAGTCGTTGCTCTGAGTCCACGAGGAGCTCCTCCTCTCCGTCTCACCCCCTCCCCGGGTTTTATTCACTTTCACTTTGACACTTGAGGTGGACTCCCAGTGCAATATAGAAGCGTTTAGAGGCGGGGAACGTGCGTGTGGTTATCCAGGAAGAATTGACAAGGGTTTGCACCGAGCGTTCCTGAAGAACTCACCCGTGAGGTGTCTGTTTCCCACCCCCAGTTCAGGACCTGCTATCTGAAGAGCACGGATGCAGCCTCCCGGCCACCCCGCAGTCTATCTCTGACCTTAAGTCTCTGGCCACAGCCCTGCTGGAGACGATCCACGAGAAGAGCATGGTCATCCAGCACCAGCGGCAAACCAACAAGTAGGTGCCTGGGCCCTCGGCCGGGGCGGGCGGAGAGGAGGGGACGAGGCTCCCAGTGGACAGGCATGAAGAGGAGGACAGACCCCTCACATCTAGAAGGAGAAGTCTTTTCTGAAACGTTGTTTTGTTTTGCTGTACAGCACATGCACTCACCAAAGAGAAAGAGAGAGAGCTAGAGACAGAGAAAGTGAGAAGTTGCCTCCATGCCTCAATCCCTAAATCCCTTCTCCTCCATCTTCCTCTTGGGATTTTGGGCATGCATGCACACAGGCCCGGCATGAGTTTCAGGCCGCCAGGCCCAGGACTCAGACCATGGCTGGCCATGTGGGAGTCCAGCACCTGAACCACTATGCCACCTGCTGGCCCCTAGAAGGACACTTCTTAAACTAGAGCTGGACTTCATGTCAACATTGTGGCTATCACCTAGGGTCAGGCATGGAACCATATTGGTCTTCGCTGGTGACTACTGCTCTGGGCCACGCACTGGGTCACCCTCTCTCGTGGGTCACTTCCACGGCGTAGTTGCCTGGGTGACAGCCTATTTCCCCTTCAGGTCTCCACTCAGGGGAGAAACTGCCTCAGAGCCGTGTGAACCTCACCACGTGTCTTAGGGGCTCTGAACGGCAGGGACCATCCAGCCTCAGCTTCTACAGGGAGCTGAGCCTAGGGGGGGGTCTCATGTCTCTTCCAGATCAGCCGAAAAGATGGCGAAAAGGAGCAAAAATTACAACAGAGTGTCTTGTTGGGTTTTTATAGCACGTTGACTGTGCTGTGTAAAACCAAGTGAATGTAGATTAAGTAGCAGTTTTATATATATATATACACACACACATATATACACATACACACACACTATTTTTAACAAATGATAGCTACTATTCACCCCCAAAAATGCTGTGTTCTCTTTCCTTGCTCCGCACCTAGCCCTTCCCCTCCGTAACAATAGATCTTACAGATTGCTTCCTAGCAGTACATGAGGTACCTAATGTGCCATTTTTAATACATGCAAGGTCGTAAGTTTTATACTTTCAATAGATGTTTTAGTGGGGGTCACGTAAAGGAACTCTTTTACAAATGGAGTGAGGGCTAAGAAACGAATGGGGATTTATCTGCTCGCTGCCATCTCCCATGATTCAGCCTCCAAAGCTAGAATGATAAGATAGCGTGACAAATAGGAAGAAGGACACTTTCTGTAAGCGTGCCCCCCCCCACACACACACACACCGACTTTCCAGGGGCTGCAGCATCCCTTCGAGAAGGCCCAGAAGGAGGCATGTTGAAAAGTTGATGAGTAAACCTAGGACTTTGCCGTGAGACACAATCAGCTGCCGGCGATTTGCTGGGCACTCCCTGCCAGGGTTGGCTGTTCGATTCCCAGTGAACAAGGGCTGTGCTTCGTTGATCCCGCAAACGGCTGGCAAAGCATTTGTAGAAGAGGAACGGTGGAAGTCGTGTTCCACCGCGTGCCACGGTCGGCTCTCTGAGCCTTCCTAACGCGCTGTCACCTTGCGCTGCTGCTGGTGCTGGGGGTGTTGGTTAATATCTGAGGACATATTGACCTTTGGCTCCCCTTTCAGCAGGGCCTAAAACCATTTCCTCGTCCCCTTCCCTAGGACGGGTAAGTGGCTCAGAAGTTCAAGGCCTCGGTGGCAGTGAGAAGGCATCATGGATCAGAGCAGATTCAGAAGGACGTCCAGGCCAGGGCAGGGTGGGCGCAGGCGGGCCTCCAGGTCGTGCAGGGCCTCATCCACCTGCTGCCTTTCCAGAGCCTGAGTTCTCCAGGACCCTGAGGCAGGCATTTCTGCCCTCTGTGTTACCCAGGGAGCAGGCACCCTGTGGTCCATTCCCGAGTCAGCGCTGTCTTCACGGGTTCCTGATCCCACCCTCAGCCATGCCGGCGTTCTCTGAAACCCCTGCTAGAAGGCCGGTCTGACTGCCCCGCATCTTGAGAGGTTTCTAGACTACCAGGTTGTCCTATGCTGGAATCACCCCTATCCTAACATAATCTGTATCTAAAGAAAAACTTTATTTGGGGGCCAGCAGATGGCGTGGTGGTTAAGGCGACTGGACTCCCACTCGGCCGGCTGCAGTCGAAGTCCCAGACTCCTGCTTCTGTGTCCTAAGAAAGAGGAGGCCTGACGGAGCTTGCTGGGGCTTGGGGAAAACGGAGCTGTGGGATGAACTGTGCATCCTGGGACCAGTCACTTAACCTCTCTGTTGCTTACAATCCACATGTGTCAAAGGAGGGTAATCAGACAGTGTAGACCAGACCACTTGTCAGGGTAGTGAGATGGTGTAGGCTAGGTGGGTGGCCATCAGGGCTTCCAACTCACACCAAAAACGCAGAAGAGTTGTGTCGGCCGTTAGTGTTAACAGCAGGGCCATTACTGTTATGGTCATCGTTATTATTACTTTCACCCCAACTTCTCCTGGATCCGTTTTATCACCTGCGGTCTCGCATCAGATGCCAAGAAGTGTCAGGCCAAAGAAAAAAGCAGCCACCACGGACAAACTTAGGCAGGGGTCCTGAAAGCAGATGGTTGGGCACACCCACAAATCACTTCATTTCACTTCGGGGGGAGACAGCCGTGTTATCCAGGAACGTCAGACAAAATGTAACCACACATCTCTCTGCCGCGCCTTGGAGTCGTGCCCGGCAGTGTCCCTCGGCCTCGACCTCGGTCGGAGAGTTAAGCCTTACCGTTGTTTCCGAGAGGCGGCCTGTAGAGATGATCTGATCGCGTTAAGACACAGGCTTCAGCCTGAACACTGTCGTGACTGCATCTCAAAGCCGTCAGCTGGTGAGAGGGAGCGGGGATCAGAGCGTCTGAGCAAATACTGAAAGCGAGATTACGGAGAATAGAGTTCTAGTCAAGGGTCAGAACGGGGAAGCAAAATGGACCCCAAAACTGGAGTGAGAATGGAAGTAATTGATAAAGACGATGCAGACTGCTAAGACTTTAGGGACCGAATGAAAGAAAAGTGCTAAGTACCCAGATGAAGCAAGCCACATACAGTACCGCCAGGGCTTTCTGTGAACGCGAAAGGAATATTAATTAAGATGCTGCGAGTCAATTCAGGTAACCGAAGGGTGAATCCAAAGGATGAATCCTATAATACGTGCAGATGAACACGCATTCGTGCCTCTGTGCGTGTGGGTGTGTATGGTTATCTCTGAGAGATAGAGAGAGGTAGGAGAGTGATTCTGCTCTTCGCATTTATCGCTATGAAAGGAATCGAAACTTTGCTATTAACGTGATTTCCACACCTTTTTTTTTTTTAGCACGGCAATGCTGAGAAAATCCCCAAATAAAATAAGGACTGGTTTTGCCATTTCTAGACCAGCGGGAGGTGGGTGGAGTTGTAGATGGCTATCAGACGTCTTGCCAACTCTTTGATCTTGTAGGGACAGAGGAGGAGAATGTACGCCCAGTTTATGGATAGACTAAGTCAGGCTTCCGGGTTAACAGCATGATCTGAAAGACACATTCCGGGGAGTCAGAATGGCCACCTTAGCAAGCAACGTAATTATTCTAATGATTCTGTAATTACTGAAGGCTCTCGAAATGCTTATTTTTGTTCTTCTCACAGGTAAGTACAAGCCATGGGAATCATTTACTTAATCAAACATATTTTTCGAACACCTACCATGTGTAAGCTTTGTGCTTGCTATCAGTAAGACATGAGGTGGGTCTAGGAAGGCACACACTGTTTTATTTTCTAAAGCAGCATTGCTGGGCATGCTCACGTGTCCTATCTGCTAGACTTGGTTGCTTTCAAAAATCAGGTCTCCCCGCAAAGAATCACGGTGTCACTAATCAAGGGCTTCCTAGGTTAGTTGTCATCATCATTAGCAACGAGCAGCTCCCAAATAGGAATTCCATAAGATGCCTTGGACAGTGACTGGTCATCAACGACTCATTTGAATGGCATGTTTTGTTTTGTTTGTTTGTTTGTTTTTGAGAGAGAGATTTTTGCTGTGAGGTGCTTGTGCTTGCCAGAAAGACAAAACAAAACAAAACAAAACAAAACAACCCAAGGAATCACCCCCTGGGGAGATGGCCACACCACCATCCCTTCTCCATTCTCCTCTTGGGATTCCGAGCACACACGCACATATACCTGGTATGAGTTTCAAGCCTCTGGGTCCAGGACTTGAACCACAGTCGACCACACGGGAGTCCAGCAACGTGACCATTGCACCTAGGGACCGAATGAAAGAAAAGTGCTAAGTACCCAGATGAAGCAAGCCACATACAGTACCGCCAGGGCTTTCTGTGAACGCGAAAGGAATATTAATTAAGATGCTGCGAGTCAATTCAGGTAACCGAAGGGTGAATCCAAAGGATGAATCCTATAATACGTGCAGATGAACACGCATTCGTGCCTCTGTGCGTGTGGGTGTGTATGGTTATCTCTGAGAGATAGAGAGAGGTAGGAGAGTGATTCTGCTCTTCGCATTTATCGCTATGAAAGGAATCGAAACTTTGCTATTAACGTGATTTCCACACCTTTTTTTTTTTTAGCACGGCAATGCTGAGAAAATCCCCAAATAAAATAAGGACTGGTTTTGCCATTTCTAGACCAGCGGGAGGTGGGTGGAGTTGTAGATGGCTATCAGACGTCTTGCCAACTCTTTGATCTTGTAGGGACAGAGGAGGAGAATGTACGCCCAGTTTATGGATAGACTAAGTCAGGCTTCCGGGTTAACAGCATGATCTGAAAGACACATTCCGGGGAGTCAGAATGGCCACCTTAGCAAGCAACGTAATTATTCTAATGATTCTGTAATTACTGAAGGCTCTCGAAATGCTTATTTTTGTTCTTCTCACAGGTAAGTACAAGCCATGGGAATCATTTACTTAATCAAACATATTTTTCGAACACCTACCATGTGTAAGCTTTGTGCTTGCTATCAGTAAGACATGAGGTGGGTCTAGGAAGGCACACACTGTTTTATTTTCTAAAGCAGCATTGCTGGGCATGCTCACGTGTCCTATCTGCTAGACTTGGTTGCTTTCAAAAATCAGGTCTCCCCGCAAAGAATCACGGTGTCACTAATCAAGGGCTTCCTAGGTTAGTTGTCATCATCATTAGCAACGAGCAGCTCCCAAATAGGAATTCCATAAGATGCCTTGGACAGTGACTGGTCATCAACGACTCATTTGAATGGCATGTTTTGTTTTGTTTGTTTGTTTGTTTTTGAGAGAGAGATTTTTGCTGTGAGGTGCTTGTGCTTGCCAGAAAGACAAAACAAAACAAAACAAAACAAAACAACCCAAGGAATCACCCCCTGGGGAGATGGCCACACCACCATCCCTTCTCCATTCTCCTCTTGGGATTCCGAGCACACACGCACATATACCTGGTATGAGTTTCAAGCCTCTGGGTCCAGGACTTGAACCACAGTCGACCACACGGGAGTCCAGCAACGTGACCATTGCACCATCTGCTGCCCCCCCCAGTTTTGTATTTTTTTAAACCATACACATTATCTAGTGTCATATGTGCTTTCTGTAGAATGTATATTTAATATACTCTGGAGAGCGTGTATTCTCTCTCGCACATACACACACATACACACACACGTGCAAATGTTCCACTTTTAGCATGTATCTTATATCTCAAAACTCTTTTCCCTCTGCGAGGGCACTGGTAGGTTCTCCAAGCAGCCACCTCACAGCCCGAAGCTGGTGGGAGTGTGGTTATTAACCTGTCATCGCTTTATCCCTTTTCCAGGATCCTAGGGAATCGAGTGGCCGAGCTGGAGAAAAAGTTAAGGACGCTGGAAGTTTCTGGTTTGTGGAGTCTTCCAGGTAAACAGAGCTTCGTAAACACTGTTCCCCCACCACCCTATTTCAAAAAGGAAGCTCTCACATCATTTGCAAGAAGATGTGACCTTTTTAACATCCTTAAGTTGAACATCATTGCTGAAAAGTCGACACCTGTTTAAAACTTAGAAACCATAATGCTGGGGAAGGCAGAATCAGAACAACACTATAAATATTCACATTTTCATCCACGGAGCTGTGAAGTTCTGCTAACGCGAATTCTCAGATTGCCATTGTGTGTACATATATATTTTTTAAACTTTTGTGAATGTAATGAATTGTTTCATACTTTATCTGTAGGTATCTTATAAAGCTTTGTTCAGTGTGATCATCACTCCTAAGAATGAATGTGAGGATACACAAAGATTTGTCCAATTTAATCATCAGCCCTAAAAATGAATATAAGAACTTACAAAGATTTGTGCAATGTAATCATCAGGCCTAAAATTGAATGTAAGAACGTACAAAGATTCGTTCAATTTAATCACCAGTACTAAAAATGAATATAAGAACCAACAAGTTTTCTAATCCAGCTATACCTCACAACCTCTGTTTCTTCCCTTCCTCCCATCCCATTTTACAAAGCTCAAAAAGCAAAATTTCCTGTGGAGTTTTTTTTTTTTTTTTTTTTTTAAATTTTTTTCCCCGAGTTCTACGCCATGTTAGAAAACTCTGATGTTTCACTTTAATTAGCTCAACGCACCCTGTTTGTCTTGGGAAAACACTCCTTTCGTGAGACCCTGGTCAGCTGTTCTCACTTACCTTTACACTCTTCAGAAACGTATTTATCATTTTCTACCACCTCCTCATTCCCAGAAATAACATTTTACGTATATTTTTAGTTACTCAACCTTCCTTCCTTGCTTCCTTCCTTCCTCTCTCTCTCTCTCTCTCTTTCTCTCTTTCTTTTAATTTGTTAGAGGGCACAGGCATTCACCAAAGGGAGCGAGAGAGAGAAGGGAAGTGAGAAAGCACCTGCAGAGGGATGGCCACGCCATAATCCCTTCTTTCTCCATTTCTCAGTCCCTTTGGGATTTGGCACATGCATCTAGCATATTTTTCAAGCTGCCGGGCCTGGGACTTGTCGGTCACGTGGGATCCGACCGTCTCAGCCACCATGCCACCACCTGGCCGGTTACTTAATCTTCCTGCACAACCCAGTCTCCTCTTCCTCCCAATCATGTGGGCTGCTTCCCACGTGTGATAAATGAAAGTTGTCATGGGGAAGGGGACACATGTCTTCTTACATGTCCACCTGAGTAGCTGCCTTAGATTGCCCAGAAGTGTGTTTTATAAGTTGAAGGGTTTTGTTTTGTTTTGTTTTTGAGGTTTTTGCAATAGGGTGCATGCGCTCGCCAGAGAGACAGAGAGACAGAAAGCAAGGACTCAACCCCCCAGGTGGGGATGGTCACACGGCAATCCCGTCTCCTCTATTCTCCTCTCAGGATCTTGGGCAAGCATGTACATGCACGTGGCATGAGTTTAAAGCTGCCAAGTCCGGGACTCGAACCGTGGTTGACTACGTGTGAGTCCAGCGACATAATCGTTACGCCATCTGCTGGTCTTTTTAAGTGAAAGTTTTTAGCAGAGATTCCTTGAACTTGATGTCAACAGACTTAACGAGACTAATTAGTGGTGGGTGCATTGTGGGACTCCGACTGGTCCATTTCGCACAAGAACCTTTTGATGCTGTTAAAATCTCCACTTCTGCGAAAGCCTGTTATTGCGTCAAATTTCAACCCAGTCAGACAAATTCATTATTTATTTGTACTGTCAGACTACCATTTCTGTGTACATCCTGGAGTCGTGATTTTTTTCTCCTCAAAGTGACTTAGTGAAATTTCTCACTGTTTCGTGTCTCTTTGATATAAAAAGATGGAAGGTGAGTAAGTGAACAGTGCTGGGAGTTCTCCATCTCTGGCGCCGTTAGGGTTTAGGTGAGATTTCAAATAGCGACGATGCAGTAACGACTGTCTCTTTCCTCCTTTCTGCTGCCTGAAGGCCTGAGCTACAATGTCTCAGTAGGATTTGGGAGTACGTTCTTTTTGAATTACTGTTTTTGTGACTACCATCGGCAATGCATTCTATCACCCCTGCATGTAAATAAGTGCAAAAGCACTATCTCCCTTTCCTTGAAACAGAGAATTCAATTAGGACAAAGCAAATATTAGATAGTGAAATTGGCTCTGAAGGACCCGGCTCAACGAATCTGCTGCCAGGGCCTCCACGCAGAGACAATGTGGGAAGCCAGGAAAAGGGCAGTCCCTGTGTAATGGAGCAGCTTGGCGCCTGCGTAGTGATGAAGGATGTTAGGTGACTGGGTGGTGTTTTCAAGCCACGGGGAAAGTAAAGGGGGAGAGCCTTTTCCGGTGTCAATCAGATGGGCCCCTCTGTCTGCATGGTTTTCTATGCCTCCATTTAGTCTACCACATAGCGCCCCAAGGGACTCTGTTCTTTACCTCCGTCCCTCCCCCTCGTCTTCCTGCACCTTCTCCTCTTCCTTTTCTTCCTCCTCCTCCTCATCTCTGTCTTCCCAAGTATGAACCAAGTCATGGTGTTTAGCCAGCTGGAGGGCACTGATTCTTGGCCACTGGGGCCAAGGGGATAAAGAAGGTTGGTTGGAACACAGAGAGAGAGTGTCCCATACCGAGGCCCGTGAAGGCCAGAGAGCTGCTGGCCACATGCTAGGGAAGGCGGGCTCAGGAGGACATCCCGTCCCTGACCTGAGGACAGTCAAGGTTGCCCTGCTGGAGAAAAATGAAGGAAGTCCACCTCGAGGCACCTGCTGTAGACTCATGGTAGCCAAAGCCCATGTCACCATCAGCCCAGTGAGGTGTGCCCAGATGGTGGCTTTGTAGCACGGGAAGAAGTCAGAGGGTGTTGACTTCATCCTGCCAGCATCCTTCTTTTTTTCTAATAATTGTTTTTCTATTGCCAAAGAGTACATGTACTAACCAGAGAAAGAAAGAGCTAGAGACAGCACCTCCCGTGGGGCATGGTCACTATCCCTTCCCTCTGTTTCTCCATCCCATCAGGATCTGAGCGTGCATGCACCGGCACCTGGAGTATTTCTCGAGCCACTGGGGCTGGAATCCTACCCACAGTTGGCCACATGGGACCTAGGCCGGCCCCTGAGAGCCTCTCAACAACTCCTTGAGCTGTAGATTAGCAGATCTCTTTGGGAAACGTCTCTGTGTCAGGAGCCTGAAGAGTTCTGGAACTTTCCACATGAGGCAGTCGCTGTGTCGTGCTGATCCTCAGGGCCAGGCCTAGCGGGTCCCTCTCATCCAGGACTGCTCACAGGTAGCAGAGCATGAGAGGCCACAGTCACTAATCACATGCTCTGTCTTCCTGGGCAGCAGCAAGGCACCCATGCCCGCCAGACCATAGGGTCCCCAGGCATGCCTCTGCCATG